AAAAAAAAAAAAAAAAAAAAGAAAGAAACAGAGCGGAAAAGAGTTATGAAAGCATCTTCATTTAGACAACAAAATACTCACAAGCATTTTTCTATGCGCACACCCTGTACTACGTCTTCGTTGTTAACGACGTATAACCACTCGTTTTTTATATTTTGCGCTGTTTTCGGAACGACGATTTGTTCCTGAAATTAAAAACACGTTCGGCTGTATTATATGATTGATTAATCTCGCTTGATGTTATTTGTGGTAAAATTTTACATGATACACATTATCGATCTGTCGATACAATAATTTTGTCAGAACGTTCTATGGATATAAAAGAAGTGGGAAATATTATACAGTAATTTATAACAATAATTGTTGCAAAAATGAAAACTGCAGAAAGCATTATAGGTTTATTTATATATTCATTTGTGGGCAGTTTCAATAGAGAAGTCAAACAAACATGTAACAATATGTATGAGAAGTTGATAGAAAATTAATATTTATAAAATATAGGGTAAAAGTTAGTTGTGTTTCATAACTTTCTTTTTCAAAGTATTAATTCACAATCCTTCATGAATATAATGAATCTATATATAGATAGAATTATATACACGGATAAAGAATTGTTTTTCGTTTTTCATTATTTATATTTTCATTTGTCACTTTCTGAATTTATTTTATAACTTTACAATTTTCATAAGAAGCATTATACATTATAGAATACTTCGACATAAGCGAAGTATAATAATAATATGTGTAACATTAATATTAAATATCATTCGATAGAAGTCGAATATTAAGAAATTACTTACAATCGACGCACAGAGCGACTCCGTATCGAGAAAGGAATTGTCTATCTTGGATCGAAATGTTTCCAACTGAAAGCAAATAATAAGAAACGTGGAAAATGTTCATCGTGTAACGAATATTATATTTATAGCGACAAAAAAAAATTGGAAGATTTTTAATACACTTATCTACAAAGATAAGTAGTATAATACTGACCATGTCGACGGTTTTATAACTTTTAAGATGCGGATTTTTGCTAATAATTTCTTTCACCAAATTCGAAGGGTAATTTGGAACATCCTCGCAGAAGGTTTGCTCTTGACAAGAAGGTACCGCTGCCGTTTTCATTCTCATTGACTTGACATCGGTATCGGGGAACACGATACCGCTTTCTGACATCATTGTAACACGCATGTAAGAAAAAAAAGAAGACAACGTTCACTTTTAAAATTAAAAATCCTTGTAATTGAAGGTAATTTTTTTTTTTTTTTTTTTTTTTTTTTTGAGAACAAACCGGCGTTGTTCATCTGCCTCGTGGATTGTTTAGTGTCTACCTTTGCGTCGTATTGATTGATAGGTAATCTCCAGCTTCTCGATAAAGAAACATCCCATTGGCCGGAATCACTGTGGACGTTGAACACCTTACAAATGGCACATTAAAGTTTCGTTATTTCTGACTCTATGAAGTACGAAGAAATTTCGATTCCCTTTCTTCGTTCTTTCAAATACAAGGTGGTTCGTAACTGCATCACAATCGGATATAGAAGAAAAGAGAAAGAGGAAAATTGTTTCGTTTCGAGAAAAACAACTCTGACATTTTATCTGGCACTATACATTTAAGTACGGCTTGACTTTCCAATCTTATCTCGTAGTGAATTAATATTACGAAGTCAATACTTGTATTTATAAATATTTTTTCAATGTCACGGAAATGCGTTGAAATTTTATTACTTCTAAAAGTTTAATATCCTTGGATATGTTTCTCATGATGGTCAATTCTTTTTTTTTTTTTTTTTTTTTTTTTTTGAAGTTCCTACGAACATTCTGTCAAACGCGGAAACAATCTTTTCTTTCACTTGGACAACGATTGTAACTTCATAAATAAAAACAAGCCAGATAAGCTAGGTAAAACTTCAGAGTGAATTCTCGAGGATGAAGGAAATTGTTCCCCCCCGTAGAATTATACCACCAGTTACGAACTATTCTGTATAATGAGAAACTTGTATTTAAAATTATACGTGTGCGTTGAGATATTTTCAATTAAAAAATAGAAAAGAAGACAAAACATTTCACTTCGCGTGTTAAATTATTGAAACACTGTAAGAATTGTATCGAAATCGATCATTATTACTTTTGAATTTAGTTCGATGTTCATGTCCTTTGTAAAGTTCCTGCGAGATTTCGACGGTGTTCAATTTTTCAAACAGTAATTCTCAGATGCACTCAACGCTATTCAGAGAAATTACCGTTCCCTTTTACAGCGCAAACCAATGCTTCTTTTCAAACATTCTTTTCAAACATAGCCAACAAGTTCCGTTCTTTACTGTTGCGTGGGCTACGTTAATATTTTCCTTTCCAGCGATGAGAGATTCCAACGAGATACGTAAGGAATAAAGGAAGCGAGCGTAAAACAATTATTTTCAATTCAAACGGTATCTAATCTGTCCGATGCTCAGGAGGTCGAAAGGCTCCTCTGTAATCAAAGGCTGACGCTCGCTTTGAGATTTCCGACAAGCCAGTGACCCACGGCTACAAAGATGGTCGGCCAGTTTAAGTTTTAGAAGCAGTCTACCGTGTCACCGTATTGTTCCACCTTGTCCAAGCCTTGCAATCAAACTACTCGATAAAATGAGTTTCGTTCAATTTGCTTTTGAAGATTATGCGGCTCGTAGCTTGAAAACCAAAGATTTTAGCTCTGTTCTTGTATTCCAAGCTCGTCTTCGTTTGTTTTGATAAAAATTCTCAACGTCATATTTTACACATTAAACGGAAAAAGCTTTTGTTATTTTAAGAAAGATTTTTAGTAAAAAATCGTAATATCAACTTTTTCTTAGACAATTGAAAAATTTGCTTAACAACTGGAAAGTATATTATTTAGTCGTAAAAATGATTCAAAAAGATATAAATGGAATTTCACTTTTGTTATATTTTTATAGCCTTCTGTTGTTTCTGTGATTAATTATTTCACACACACACGTTGATAATTTTGTAAAAAAGATATCCGGAATTATGATATAAAAATTATACGTACTTGTAACAAGGCAATGACAATGTTCAGCACAACAACCACGTTCTGATGTTCCATC